CTACTGGTATGTAAGTGTAGTATGTACTACTGGTATGTAAGTGTAGTATGTACTACTGGTATGTAAGTGTAGTATGTACTACTGGTATGTAAGTGTAGTATGTTCTACTGGTATATAAGTGTAGTATATGTACTACTGGTATGTAAGTGTAGTATGTACTACTGGTATGTAAGTGTAGTATGTTCTACTGGTATGTAAGTGTAGTATGTACTACTGGTATGTAAGTGTAGTATATGTACTACTGGTATGTAAGTGTAGTATATGTACTACTGGTATGTAAGTGTAGTATGTACTACTGGTATGTAAGTGTAGTATGTACTACTGGTATGTAAGTGTAGTATATGTACTACTGGTATGTAAGTGTAGTATATGTACTACTGGTATGTAAGTGTAGTATGTACTACTGGTATGTAAGTGTAGTATGTACTACTGGTATGTAAGTGTAGTATGTACTACTGGTATGTAAGTGTAGTATGTTCTACTGGTATGTAAGTGTAGTATATGTACTACTGGTATGTAAGTGTAGTATGTACTACTGGTATGTAAGTGTTGTATGTTCTACTGGTATGTAAGTGTAGTATGTACTACTGGTATGTAAGTGTAGTATATGTACTACTGGTATGTAAGTGTAGTATATGTACTACTGGTATGTAAGTGTAGTATGTACTACTGGTATGTAAGTGTAGTATGTACTACTGGTATGTAAGTGTAGTATATGTACTAATGGTATGTAAGTGAAGTATGTACTACTGGTATGTAAGTGTAGTATGTACTACTGGTATGTAAGTGTACTGTATAGTGTACGTGCTACTGACTGCAGCTCACAGCCATCTATCAAACACAATCTTTAACTGAACCCAATTATAAATTCAACTATGGTCCTGTGAGAGTATGGCACAGTAAGTCCCAGGTTTGGTTCCTTCTTGTCCACCTCAGCTCCACCATAACCATTATAAGAGTTTGCTTTCATTTAAAAAGTTGACTGGTAGGCTTACTATATATTCTAGCTTCTCCAGGTCAAATTCGTCGGTTTAGTAGTAGCCATGCGACGATTTTAAACAATTTTAAGATCATTTTCATAAGGCTCCCTTTTGAGATCCCCTCTGTGTTCTCAGTCCTGACGACAGTACACACACGCAACCATGCGGTCACAAACATCCTGGTTAGAAATTCTGTCGAATCTAATTCGTTGGTCAATGGTTGAAAGCAGAATTTCGGCGTTCACTCATTATGATCACTTTGAGTGAGCTTTCCTGTCATCCATCAACAAGTAATAATACATGATGACAGTCAATATTACAAGTAGGAAATGCACATTACGATCATGACTCCTGAAAACATGTTACTACCCCAAAGAAGGGTGTACTCGGATACTGATAACACGCTGGATTTGATATTGGGTTTCATATAAACGACCCAGAACATCAAACATCACAGCAATTAAGTCATATTGTGAGACTAAAGAATGTCTGTTCTTTTGTCGATGTTTAATTGACTGCCAGGAACGAGGCAGACAAAGTTTGTCGCAGTCTTAAAAGTTGATATTTCTGTTTCTTTTATCTCTATCTGCCAATTATTTATCAATTTATTTTATTTATTTATTATTCCTTTTTTATAGTAAATGTGATTATAACTTGTTCAACTTGTCCTTTGCCTAGCTTTAGACTTTCAATCTATTTTTTCTGTCGAAAGGGTAGTAAAAGATGTCTGAAACGGCTATACCGTAAGATCATTCGAAATTTATTTGTATGATTGATTTAAATTTAATACAATAATCTACTCACAAATTTCACGTGTACAAAATTGACATGCACAAAATGAACATGCATATGATTGTTTGAATTCAACAATGAATACAGAACAGTATATGAATTTAATTTGACGCAACGGTGTAGCTAGTCTATAAAACCACAGACGTCAACTTATCAAATCCTTACGCGATTACTCAAAATATTTATATTCCTGTTCCGATGTTACGGAGGTAGCTCCTGAACACATAATTAGAGTCTGACGTTATTTTAGAACCCATACAATCAAGGGTTAGACACCTTTAGTTACGATAACCATCATTAATCGGGTTTCTTGGATACTGCCTACATTTTTAAACAGTTCAATTTAATAATATTATGATAGTAATAGAAACACAAACTAATCAGTATCCAGTCTTGATGTGCCAAGTAAACGATATATCACACACAGTGTCACACATAGTGTCACACACAGTGTCGCACACAGTGTCGCACACAGTGTCACACAGTGTAACACATGGTGTCACACATAGTGTCACACACAGTGTCACACATAGTGTCGCACACAGTGTCGCACACAGTGTCGCACACAGTGTCGCACACAGTGTCGCACACAGTGTCGCACACAGTGTCACACAGTGTAACACAGTACCACGCAGTTTACGATAATCATATCTTTACTCCGAACGACAACGATTTTATGATTGCCAATCATTGTTATCCCATATCAATCTCAAAACGAGGTGATCACGATACTAAAATGATAAATAAGGGCAGATATAAAATTAGATGTAGATGTTGATCGGTTTACTTTTGTCTGCCACCTACTCCTTTCTTAAATTATACATTGTACATTATACATTGCACTTGTCATGACAAGGGGTGGAGAGGTACCGGGTGGTCAAAGTGGTTGCAACGTTCAGGCGTGGGTAATCTTCACAACATCGAGCTAGCTTTGTTGATTCTTAACATAAACTATTTTTGATGGGATGAACTGTGTTATTTTTTGTATCATATACCTTAGTTCCCAAAAATTTGTGTGCCATTATATTGAGCACAATTTATTTGAGCCCGAAAAATTTGGGCAGAAAATTTGAACTCATTTGGGCGACCGAAAATTTGGGCACAAATTCTTCGAAAAATGAACGATTTTTTTACTAAAATTTCAGTTAGATATTTGCCTTAGTTCATTATTATTCTTATTATTCCAGTCATTTTGCTTTCAATTTTAAGCATGTAGGTGGTAGTCTGAGTTGTTTCACATTATGAAATTTACGATCTGCCCAGTAACTACTAAAAAATACAGTGATGATGGCACAGTACAAAATGATAGATATACAATAGTGATATTCAGTCTCTCAATCAGATAGTTTAGTCTACTTACACTCAGCATATCTTATCATACCCCTTTCACATACAATTATCATTATGACGCCTCACCAGATGGTCGAAAGGTTTGACCAGTGTCCAGTTCTTTGAGAAAATCCTTTTTCCTCGCATAGAATCAGTTCGAGCCTCCATCAACAACCCTGAGCAGAAAGCGCTACTGATATCAGATGTGTTTCGGGCCCAACACACACAGACACTAAAAGATCTGATGACAGAACAACTGCATCCTACAGAAAGTTCCAGCTAATATGACCCATCATCTACAGCTCCTGGACATATCTATCAATGGACTGGCTAAGAAATTCATGCGCAATAAGTACGAAGATTGGTACGCGAAAAACATAGTGTGTCAGCTCAATGGAGGAGTTTCATCAGACAATGTGAAAATTGATACCCGCTTGACAGTGATCCGTGAAGTACACGCTCGTTGGATCAACGAACTTTTTGTATATTTAAAAGGGAGGCCAGATGACATAAGGAAAGGCTTTGAGAAGTCGGGTATAACTGATGCTTGTAGATCAGACTTTACGGTGGATGATAATCCATTTGCAGATCTTGTTTAAATCTCTAGCTATCCGTACCTCTAGCCATAATTGTTTTATTAGTAGCTGTTAGTTATTCCAGTTATTTCTATTCATTTAAAATATAAGCCTTTTTACTTGGTCAAGCCATGAATGACAGATTAGAAAACTAAAATTTCAAATATTATTTCACTTGGATATGAAGAAAAAGCCATCTTTCTATAGATTTCAGGGCCACAGGCCAAATGCCAAAAGTTTGGTTAGCAAAAAATTTAGCTGACGGAAAAGATTTATGCAATTAATTTGGTCTGCAAAAAATTTGGGCGAGAGGCCCGCTCAAATTTTTTGTCGCCCAAATTTTTGGGAATTAAGGTACTTAATACCCTGAGTTAAGTCACGTCAAGAGGATTGTGAAACAATGTATTTAACAATGTATTTAACAATGTATTTAATTAAATAATTGAAATATTTGAACGCCGTACTTTAATAATTCGTTGTGAGGCTATACTTGCGATAGTTGCGATATGTGAATTGTGCAAAGGAGATCGTGAAGCCAAAATTAAAAAAGATGATCTGTCAAGGTCTCCGTCCAGCAAATCAGTGAAACGGTTAAGATTAAATCTTAATCAGATTCACATAATACCATTGATTAGGGACAAAAGGTTTGTCATTAGCGTGGATTTGTGATTTTATGAAGGAGCTTCAACATTACAGCTAATGCATCATTTCGTAGTTTATCGTTCCTCTTTGTTTTTAAACTAGTAAGTTTGCGGAGCATCCAGAACAATTATTGGCACCAGGAGTTGAGAGATGGCATTTTTCAACTCCAGGATCGACCATAATCCCGGATTAGTAGTCCCGGTCCCAGTTGTAATTACCGTGCGTGCTAAAAATAAGATACCGGGAAGGCCCAGTAGGTGGGACAGAAACCCGAACAGTCACAGTAAATCCCCCAGGTAACTGCACAATGCAAAAATAGGGGATCAGGCCAGCAGTTTTAAAAAACCTCATGAAGGTTAAGAAACCTGCAATACTAACGAAGACAACAATTTCTTCAGACTTCAGTCGAAGTGCTTGAATGATGTTCGAACATTAAAAATAATTAATACGCTAATTCCGGGTTCCGAATTAACAATTTTTAGCGAATTCACATTTTTCATGTCATCTTTTTTATGGGAATTTAGGTAATTATGTTTTGTCTCTGAATTCGTCTCACCAATAACATTGACTTGCCAACAACTTCCACCTCCGTCCATCACACAATTAATTAATCACTTCAATTTATCAAATCTATTTAATTATTTAAATTCAATGATTTAATTTTAATTAATTAATTCCGCAGGGTGCCGCGAGATGCTCAGACAGAAAAGCGATGCCAGATGTTTTCAGTGTTCGTGACTCTGATATCTTTACTAGCGATATTCTTCTTCGCCATGACCAAGCCAGTTTGGACAACCAGTAAGTAAAAATATTGACATGTAACTTAATTACTTAATAATAATAATAAAACTTTTGACATCTCTAAACATATTCAACCGTAAAATATGCATTACTTATTAAAAGACAAAAATAATATTCAGCTCGGTTCTTAGAAGATGATGGTAAGATTAAAAATGGCACCTTTTTCTGAACAATATGTTTATCGGACAGATTTCATTCTTAACTCTGGTGTCTGATCTAACCAATCTTTTTCATCATCGACTGATTATACTTGAGATTTTCTCCTACCTTAACGACTTTTAAGATCTAACAGCCCCAATAACCCCATGTCTCACAACTTGCTCATTTACCGAATATATTCCGAATATATTCCGCTAGTCCACTTGCACCAACATATTACATATGACATAATATGTAGCCTTTTCTAAAATCATTTTGCCATCGGCTATTGTAAATTTGTGGAATAATTTCGGTGATCCCAAAATAGCTGATTGGTCAATTAGAGTCTGTCAGGAAACTCAGGAACTGCTGCAAAGACAATTAAGAGCCGTTTAAGAACAACAATAAAGCCGGTTTAGAACCTCATTTCTCGGGTTGAGCTGGGATTAAACTATTTAGTAGCCGGCTAGTAGCCGGGCGGGAGCTAGTCAGTAGTTAATAGAGATTATCTAGCGATGACAACCGCCTACAACTAAACAACCAATATTACAGCGAATAAATCGGCAGTCGCACTGGCATGCACATTTAAGAATACAATCTCACTTCTATCTATTTGTGATTGTGTGCTAACGAAAGGCGGCAAGGGCTACCTGGCATTTTTACAAATAATTGCACTTTTTGTCAACTATTAATATTATTATGAGTATAAGCCAACCAAATTCCTTAAGCAAAATAACTTACAAAATGATTGAACTAGCATATTGATTTATCATGTTAAAATGTCATCAATACTTAGACCTGAATTCATAGTCATCATTTCACGAAAACTCCTTATCTATTTCATATCCGGCTAAACACTTCTTCTTTTGTACTAGGTGTTCGTGGAATTCTTTAATTTAAAGCACATCTGTTAGTTATTTATTGTTTAAAACATTTAGGCGCAACTGTCAGTACCCATTCTACACTTCCCCACAATATCAGTCTCCACCTGTATAAAAATAACAATATGACTTTGTGTCTGCTTTAAAACTTCGCCCAATTCCCACTCTAATATTTAAGATATCAATAATTATTAATTAGTCGCTGTGAATTTTTGAATTTGAATTAATTAATTGTTAATTAATTAATTATTGATAAAACTAAAACCTTGTTCTATTCAGCATTACAAGCAGACCATTACAAAGGGTTGTGTGATATTAGTGGTGTAATACCGCTAGAGGGTACTGCAGAGTGCAATTCCATCAGATCCAGAGAAAACACCCAGGTTAGAATAAGTAGAACTCTTTTATTTTAGTTTAGTTAATATGAAATTGAAAAATTAGGATTATTATGTACTCGAGGTTTCTCATAAAGTAAATAAATGTAACAAAATACAGAAAAACGATTTACAAATTATATGATCTCATGACTATACCAAACATAACGTCATAACATCCTACACACACAGGTGTACTGCAAGATCACATGCACACACGGTTTAAACGAGGGGGCAGTAGACAGTAACTTCATACTTAACGGTGACGGTCTATCTTTTAACCTAACCTGTGATAAGAGCATTTCGGAGTGGACTTACGACGTCAACAAGATCTGTAAGTATATAAAAATTAGGAGTGTCTGAATCAAAGGTTGATAGCTACTGTGATGAAGATTTGTTCATTGACCTTATTTAGTACGTACACTCAAAGGAACAGATGTATATATACATCTGTTCCTTTGAGTGTACTATATATATATATAGTCACAAATTTAACATTTTTAATTTGAATTTATTAAAATCAGATCTGTAATTTCATCTTAGGCGGAATCTCTCGCAGGAGTAAAACATGTTTTACCCTGCATGTTTTTATGATATCTTAATTCCTATGGTTTATAAGGTCAAATAAGCCAAAATATTAATCTCAGGTCTATCAGAGCCCACAGAGTGAAGCCAACTCCGTATACTAGATGCAGCGTCACTTCGCTCCTTCATTCGTTTCAACTGCCAGCATTTTATACATCGGCTAACGGCTGGACCTAATAATTGATATGGGATAAGAAGTATCATCGTTTTCTATATTGTTTTTAATATGAAGTACTGTTGTCAAGTGGCAGCTAGGTAACTTGACTCACGGAGAGTTTGATACATGTGACGATCAGTTCCATGTCACCGCAGTGACACCGCAGTGACACCGCAGTGACACCGCAGTGACACCGCAGTGACACCGCAGTGACACCGCAGTGACACCGCAGTGACACCGCAGTGACACCGCAGTGACACCGCAGTGACACCGCAGTGACACCGCAGTGACACCGCAGTGACACCGCAGTGACACCGCAGTGACACCGCAGTGACACTGCAGGAACATACAAATTAATTTATTTGGTTGACCCCGACAGATCATCAATTTATAGACCTTGAGCTTTTATTTTAAGATTTTGTTAATCCGAATAAATTTGGGTGAGATTAATGATGATCATTGTTTCAGAATAAGTAGCTTAGCCATAATTAATTAAAAATTCCGACCACAATTTAATTGTGGTAAACGGCATTTTAGGAAAAATATAAGGGAAAAATTAAACACTGCGCTTTTATCGGATCTGAGATTAAATTTGACGTTAAATACGTATCACTTTAACTATATATGTTAATATTTCCGGATAAAACACCGTCTGTTCGACATATCCGAATAGTTTTTAAAGATAAAATGTCAATTATTGTAGATTTGGTAGGGTCATCATGAACTATCTCTCTAGAATGGGGTTTAGTTGAAGTTTTAATTTATATGTAAGTAATATTAATTAGGAGAAAAGGAAGAATTGTGTTAAATTATAGCTAATGTTTTATATTTTTACCAACGTGATTATAATTTATACTTGAAATTATAATGAATGATATTATAATCATATTTTACAATAATTAATTCACACAATATCTGACATTTTTTTGTTATTAAATTATTGAAACTATTGCCTGCCTGCCTAGGTCGGTCCAGATGAAATCTGGAACGAGTTTCGTGTCAACGCATGTCTCCATTTATCTCTATCACTCATGAGCAGACGTATCATGTGGGGCTCTAAACCAGTATCTTCTTGAAGGACGTCTGGAAAGGTCTTGTGTGGTCGTCCTCGATACCTTTTGCCGTAAGATGGTAGCCAGAAAAGGAGTTGCTGAGCAGGTTGGTCCTGTAGACGGTAGACATGCCCTGCAAAACGAAGTCTTCGTGTTTTGATGGTATCAGTCACCGAGGGGTAATTTCCGTAGAGGACGGAGTTAGGTGTGTGGGATTTCCATGAGATACCAAAGACCCTTCGTAGCATTCGTGTGTAAACACCGTCTAGTGCTTTAGTGTCAGCTTTATTCAAAGTCCATGTTTCTGCGCCATATAAAAGAACAGGCTCGACTGCAGTTCTGAAAATTTTAGTCTTGATCTTTCTAGACATGTCAGATTTCCAGAAAACATCTAAACTTTCAAGTGCTTTCCATGCAAGGCCTTTCCTGACATTGATGTCTTTGCTGGTTGAAGCGATGTAGGATCCTAGATATTTAAAGTCGTGGACTTCTTCGAGAGGGTTGCTGTTAATGAAGACCCTATCATCCGAGTTAACAGGCCGTGGTAGGTTGTAGGACATGTATTTTGTCTTCTCGATGTTGATGAGTAAACCATACCGGGCTGCAATATCAGAGATACTTTGACAGAGGCGGCTGTTATCGCTGAAGCTGGGTGTGATTGTAGCTAAGTCATCGGCGAAGTCCAAATCTGCTATGTAATCACAACCTACTTTAAGCCCATCGTGTGGACCTATTGCCAGTCTAAGAATGAAGTCCAGGACGATAATGAAGATAAGCGGAGCAATAACATCGCCCTGGAGAATTCCAAGGTTGGTCAGGAATTCAAGAGTTGTACCTTCAGGGGTCATGATCTTGGCTTTGGTGTTGATGTAAAGGGACATAATGGCTTTGATTATTATCTTGATTGAAACTATTAGCGGTCTTATATTATTATATATGTAATCACCTTTTGGCCAATTTAAACCCCCTCCCCGTAATCAGTTTTACACATAGCCACTGTGTTAAAATAACAGTGGCATAACCAAATAGAAACCCCATCCCTCACCCTCAGTCATTATATAATATGTGAACAACACTTAAACTATTCAAAACAAAACAATCCGCGAAAAGTAAATTTCTCACACAATTAATATTATTGGGTATAAGTATATGAACAAGGCCCAGATCCAGATTTAACCTTAAATTGGACTAACTCACCGTCTCACCAGCTGAAGTATAAGCTCTGATACGTCGGATTTGAACCTGTAAGACTGACCTCCAGCTCGTCATTTTTTGAGATTCTGCAAGCAAATCGAGGATGTGCAAAGGGTGTAGGATGTTCAGCTCGACAAAATACCGGTGAAAATTATTTCGTAGGCCCTAAAATGACTAGTCCAGATCCAGTCTTAACCTTCAATTGGACGTATCGCATAATTCACTAGCTGAAGTAGCTCTGATACGTCAGATTAGAACCTGTAAGACCGACCTCCAGCTCGCCATTTTTGAGATTAAAGCAAAGTTCAAAGTAAAGGTTGTAGGTCCCAAGGAACAACTACACATGCTATTGGGATTGTGAAATAAAATCTCCAGAGTCCAGGTGTCAAAAGCTGGTTTTTGAGTAAGAAGTTCTTCACTGACGGTTGGTACCAAGATATAATTAGGCTATTTAATTGAGCGCAGAATTAAGAAAAGTTGTTCCCAAACGAGCTTTCTCCGACCGAAATCAAACTTTTAGCACTTCATGATCGTGTCATATATAATATGCCATTTATGACTGAAGAATTCGTTGCAGGGGATAAATTTACCTTACTCGGGAATATTAAGACTGGGATAAAGTGGTGGGTTTTGGAAAATTCCGCCATATTTTTCCCGGTCAAAAATTTTACCAGTCATAATAAAACCCGCCGAGTCAGATTATGGGGTTCCAAGGGGGTGGTGATCATCATATTTTACCTAAAGTCTCATATGTGCTAGAGAAGACTTTTGAAGCAGTGGATGGAGGGCTGTAACTTTATTGGCTGTTGCTACCATAATTTCGTTATAAAAATCACAATTTGGTTATAGAAATCAGATTTCAGGATGGACCGTGATTCTCATTTCTCTTGCCCATGAATCAGTGAATCGTAGAGAAGAAAACAATTTATATGTTATAGAAGAAAACGAAAATAATAATAACATATATATATATTATAATAATAATCTTCGCGGGATAGCTAAAGGGCAGTAAATTATCATTTCTTTACTGTTGCGGTTTGAGTCGTCATCGTTAGCTTACTGTGTACCAATTTTCTGACGTTGAGAATGACACGCCAGGCTCCCGAGATAAAAGAAGTCCCAAGAGCTGATGATACTCATATTCTGGAATTTACGGCTGTGATCGCATCTCGAGGATTTCATCATCATATTTACAAAGCTACTGACTGGACAAAGGCGGAACCTGGAGAGCGTGTAACAGTGGAGCGAGAGACATCAGCTCAGTCGCTAAAGATTGATCGCTTCTCGTGTGCAGTGTGTAGACTAAAGAAAGAGGGAGTTTTCCCCGTTAAAGTAAATTGTGGCCACATCCCGCTAGAAGTGAGTAAACTGTGCCACTATTTCATGGTCCACGGTGGATTGATAACTGGAGAAGTAATGAATTGAAAATGAATTGAAGATGCAAAGCCAAAACGTTCCCCAATACCAATATGTGGGCAGGAAATTAAGCTCCGGCTGACCTTCAAAGCAGTAGCCCCACTAGCGGACAAAATGAAAGACAACAATACGACTTCGAATTTGACGGTAAGCAGCAGGGGGATATCAATCTTACTATATATAAAGCGAGACGATATATATATATATATTATGATTGGCTACTGGGACACGTCATACACACGGTTGGATATATATATATCTGTGCCATTTTACTGACACCACGGCATCAACTTTAACGCGACTTTCCGCATAACCCGTAAAAGATATACAACTGGAACTTCTTTGGCTGGGTCATATGCTTTAATGGCCTTCAAATCAGCATGAAAAAATAAAAAATTGGCCAAGGAATAATGATTTTAGAGCCGAAAATTTGGACCCCCAAGTGGTGTCAAAAACGCCAATTAAATAGGTAATAATTATTTTAGTATTTTGAGTCTTGACACCGTTTAGGGTTATATTATACGGGTTCCTGCTAGTAATGATAATGGAGGGGACATTAGCGATAATGAGAATGAGAATACGCTTTAATGAGGATTTGACTTATTATTGCTTTATTTATTTTCCTTTAAATAGACGTGTATTTTTTTCTATTTCTGAGTAATATCAATAACTGTAAATTGAAATAACTTCTTTAACAAGTAACAAAAAACAAAAATTTCGGTTGAAAATGTGTTGACCTCTGAAAAAAAACTTGAAAGGTCGGCCACCGGTAAATTCATGACCGGGATAATTTGGCGGGTTTTGGGAAAGTCCGCCATATTTTTCCCGGTCATTAATTTTCCCAATCATAAATTAACCCGCTATAATATTCCCGAGTAAGGTAGTCAAAACTGTAAAATTTTGGTTCTGGAAATTTCATAATCTCAAAATCTGAAAATGGGACAGAAATATAATGGGACAATTTGATTTTTAAATTTTGTTCAGGATTTTTATTTCCAGTTCCAGCACCTCGATTGGTCTTTGGGTGAAAAGTCCATCCAATCTGTCAAATATTTGTTCAGAAATTTTCATATTTGGAAATTGGACAGAAATTAAAAAATACGAATCAACGTTTTGTTAAGCTTTCTGCAGGATCAGCTTCCTCCGACCGAAATCAAACTTCCAGCACCTCAATCGTGTCATACTCATATGCCATTTATGACTGAATAATTGGTTGCGGGTGAGAAATTCAGTTGAGTCACACCACAATTCACAAACTCGTTTCCACTAATTTTTACTAATTTCTAAGGGTCTCTACTTCATAAATAATTTTACTTTAACAAGTTACCCTAGAATGAACTTGAAATTTCATCACCCTCATTATAACATAAAAATTAGTACCTGATGGTTGCATGAATATATTTGTTTGTTTTCTCTATAACAGTTAAATCACCAATAAATGTGCGTCAACTGTCATGTTGGAAAATCACCAAGTTGCCTGTAATTCATTTTTATAATATACGTCTTATAGATAACTCATTTTTCTAATATGGAATGAGGTAAAAATATGACGATATAAGACGTAGGTCAAAGGTGCACTGATTAAGCATAATCTGATTAGAAACTGTACTCCATCGGAGCAACTTGGTAAGATTTATGTTATTTGAGCTCTCCGTTCCTGCAGATATCATTTCACTTTATAGTTTCGGTTTCAGATTCCTTAAATTGTTGGTGTTTTACAATTAGGTCCTTGAGACTGAGTTGTTTGGTCTTTTTGTTGTAGGTTTTCCGTTTTTATTTAGTGTCTTACAAAACTTCTTCTTTCCCATATAATATATGACTATATAATTACCAATATAACGGATAACCATAAGTAAATTGCAAGCTTATCCCTTGTTACATGAAAATGCGATAGAAATAGCAGTCGATATATCTAACATAGAGTCGGCCGTACGGTATGCGATTTTGCTGTTGTAAGTTGTTTTCATAGGAAATTTTTAATCAGTAACCAGAACGTAAACCTGGATATCGAAATCTTCATGATATGACGATCCACATTTTTACATTTTTTTCCACATTAATAAGTTAATACATGGATCATGACGATAATTTGATTTGTAATGTAACATAATGTAACATAATTTTAATTCAACATAACAGTCGCTTTTAGATATTTCTTTGTTTGAATTCTTACGGTTGCATTCGCATACAACGTTTTAGGCTTTGATACCACACGATTACAGTGTACGTAAGTAAAAATTATTTCATTA